GTTTGTGTGTGATTGTGCAGCTTCTCGCTGTGGACTGTGTGCCTGGAGGTTTAGCTTGTTCCTGCTTTGTTTTGCTTGAGGCACTTTTTACCTTCTGCCAGTAAATCCTGTAGGCTATGCCCTCCCATCCTCATGGCCGCAAGATGAAGGGCGAAATCCACATTCCTGGAATCCGCGATCGAGGGTCCGAGCAGTACGAGGGCTTGATGGCGGACGTGACGTTGGTCCACCCTTACATTGGTAGCTCTGCCGACCTGACCAAGTGGGGGGAGGTCAACCTCGACGCCCTCCATGTTGCAGCGTCTGAGAAGATTCGCAAACATCGCGCTGCATATGCCATGACTACTCCTCCTCGAGCGTTCATCCCTCTTGCCATCTCGACGGACGGTACCCTGCATCCTGACACCCTCCGCTTCATCTGGTACTCTCGCGGACATCAGCGGCTACCACTGACTCGGCTACCGCTGACTCGGAGGCTAGCGAGGAGGACTACCTCGAGCGGTACCGTGTTCCTGTGTCCAGCCTCCCTCCGTCCGCTGCCCCAGGCGGACCCCCGGGCAACGCCGGCTCCTTGTCGGCGGCTGCCCTTTCTCCGTCCGCGGCCGCCCGCTTTGTGGCGGCAGCGGACGTCTCGACTGACAGTGGTCAGTCGGCTGCCTCCGGGTATCGCGTCTAAGGGATTTTATTCCTCCTGCATGCTCCTGCTGCTTGTTGCTTGATTGCTTGACCCTTAGGCTGCTTGTCGTCACGGTCTGCGCGGCTTCGCGCTTGGGCTGGCGCTGCCGCGTCTGGGTGCCAGCAGTGCTGGTTCTTTTCGGGCTTGTGTTTTGTGTGTGATTGTGCAGCATCTCGCTGTGGACTGTGTGCCTGCCGGTTCAGCTTGTTCATGCTTTGTTTTGCTTGAGGCACTTTTTACCTTCTGCCAGTAAATCCTATGACTCATTGCTCAGCGCTCAATGCCTCTTGAGGATGCGGCGTTTGGTCGGCACTTCGTGCCTGATGACGGACCTGCTGCTGAGGTCTTGGCTCGCAAATGCGCCGCCACCTATCAGCGCCTCACCATGCAGCTGACGCTGGAAGCGCTCTTGTCTGGTGCGAGGCGCATGACGCCCTTGCGGGCGCAAGCACTTCTCGAGCCAGAGGACAGCTCCTCCTCAGACTTTGTCGAGTCGCCCGAGGAGTCTTCGCCGGAGGTCTCCGACTCCGATGGGGGACACCCTTCGAGTGGCCCCGACGATCGGCGCGGAGCTGGCGAGGCGTCTCCGTCCCTCACTGTGACGTCGGGTGCCTCCGGAGAGCTCGACACCACTGGGGTGCTTGCTGCTGGTCCGAGCTCGCCTGCTTCCTCCCCGGCATCGGTCGGGTCACGCCGGTCCTTGGGCATTGCCGCGGCGTCGCCGCCGTCACGGGCGGCTACCACTGACTCGGCTACCGCTGACTCGGAGGCTAGCGAGGAGGATACAGGATT